TCACTTCTTGTTTAATTAGTTTAACTTGAAATAAACTTCGCATTCGTATTTGCATTGTTTGATCTTAAGAATATGGTATATAAGCCACAATTAGCTCACATGCAGTCCTTTCCCTCTTACTCAAACGATGTGTTTCCCCTTCAGTCTACGCTCACCGTATCGATGAGGAGGGGTAATTGAGTTTTTTTTTCTTAAATATTTTAGGTTTTTGTCCCAAAGTTCTTTGCACCCGATGCACTGTAGTGGTCGTGGTCTTGATTAAGAACCTATCGATCTCAGTCACTTCTTGTTTAATTAGTTTTGATTTAAACTTTGTGTTTGTATTGTTTGATCTCCCACATGCAGTCTTAAGTTTTCCCTCTTGACTCAAACCAAGGGAGAATGCTCAAACGATGCGCTTCCAAGTTCCACTAACGTTCACGTTCACATTATCGATGAGGAGGGGTAAGTAAGTTTTTTGACTAGGCTTTTTCCCTTGGTAAGTAGTTTTGTTATTTCAGAGCCTGAAGTATTCCAGAAAGGGTTTCCTCCGCGAGTTTGCACGTGGTATCTTTGTCATGTAATACACTAAGCTGTCATATGGATCATAGCTGCTGTAAGTACAACTTGGAAAAGAAGCGCTAAGTAAATAAACATAAACACATAAACACCTCAACACTTGCCCTACGCATGGCCTAAGCTCCATACTACTTGTGATAGGTCAAAATGTACCGATCAAGAGAAATAGTGCCTCTTGACAGATATAACAAAAACCAAGTGAAAAAAATACTAACAGCAGGGAACCAAGAAACTTCGAAAGAAATTGCTTGAATTTCAGTAATAAAAACAGTTTAAATGCAGGAAACTGCGCAATTATCGCTAAATTAATTTCCAGTTTCCTGAGGGGGTGCATCTTTGAACATTTTGGACATGATTGCTCTAAATCTGGGGAAACTGGAAGCTATCTAACAATTTTAATTGCTTTGCTTTTCCAGCGAGTGCAGCTGTACAATGAGTTTTGTTTTTTTTATCAAACCACCACCATCCTCGCATAGACCAGTTGAAGAACTTAGAAATCAGGGTCGTAACATGGTATATGGGCTCAAAGCCCAAAATATGACTGGGATCGAGGCTCAGAGGAAAGGGCTCAGGGCTCAGAAGAAGGGGATCAGGGATTACAAGGCTTTTGAACCCGAATCATGGATCAGATTTATTATACGGTCTAAAAATCTCTTATCACAATATTTTTCCGCGTAATAAAGTTTGTGTCCATAGAATTTCCTGGCCGAGGTAAAATACCTATTCTTGCTTCCGGCTGGCGGCAGTTCCTGTCATACAAAGTCCTGGTTGTTTGACGAAAGCATGGTATCATATTCTTAATTTATTAATTGTTGAGGGCACCGTAATATGAATCTCAAGTCACTTTTCTCGCTTTGTGTAACGCAACTCCTCAGCGCGCTGTCACAGAAGGCAGAGAAAACGATTTATACATATCTTTTTTTGCGAGAAATGGGAAGAAGAAAAAGGGCAAAAAGAAATCCTGTGACAGAGAAAGGTACGTAAGTACTTCCTTGACTGATTTACTCCTGGCAAGGGTCCAAGCATAGAGTTTTTCGGCCGATCAAACATAACAATACCGGTAGGACAACAGACAAACGGATTCATTCAAAGCGCAATGTTCTGTGTAGGTCCCGATAGCCTCATCCCCTCAAGCAAGTCACAAGGCGACTATAAATCGAGGTTCGTATTTTTTGACCAGTAACTTAACCAGGACCTAACCGTTAAAAGTACTTAAATAATTAGAATGGACGTCAAAAGTACAATACAAAAGTACAATGAAATCGCGCGCTTTGTTGTAAAATAAGTGCTTTAATCCTTGCAATCTGCTCTAATTTCATGGAGTTTTAGGGTTATCTCGAACTCTGATGAGAAACCGAGATCGGTTCACCTACCAGTACTAGTATTGGGCCGGGAAAGTAAAGGACACATTCTATCACTGTATAGCTGATAAATGTTTGTATGATAAATAGTCTGAAATTACAGTGAATAATTATTGAAAATAAGTGGAACACCAAAGACTTACCTCGGTGAAATAAGTAACAAAGCCTTTATAGTCTATTTTCTTTAGTTTTTTCTTTTAATAAAGTAACCGGTTGAATTGGTGAAAGGAATGTTGATTTGATGTTATTTTTTTCATGCAAGATTTTTTCATTTCTCAATCGTGCAGTAGCTATTTCTTTTGCACAAAATTAACAGACTTTTTCGGCCCTTTGGGCTATTCTGCCTCAGCTTATGTAGTGGTTGGCCCCGAAAGGTATCACCACCTTAGATTTGGAGTCTGAATTTCTTAGTGGAGTGAGAACACCCGCTCTGAAAGACTACGCATCGCGGCGGCCCAGCTGCCTTTTAGAATCAATAGAGAGGCTCTACCAATCCTCGTTTATCTTTTATACCGGTCCTCACACAGAGAAAGCTGGGTCCAAAGGTACCGGAATGGCTTCGAAAGTCGCACGGCAAGAGTAAACCTTAAGGAAGATATGGACGAGGAAACGAGCGCTGAAGGAAAGAAGCGACAAAGGAAGGCATTGCAGAGCTTTGCGAAAGAGTTCCGACGGGGTGTACGATAGCAACGAACGAGAGGGAAGACCAAAGAAAGAACTGGTACACTTCCACTTGCTCTGAGTATGTTCAGAAGGAATGCGTCGGCACATGGAGACGTCGATGTGCTGAAAGAGGTTCAAGGGAGTGAAGGACAAACTACAGTTCAAGACGCAGCCGAAGAGAGATTATCTATTCAAAAGGCGACGTAGTTGGTCTCAAGCACAATTACAAGAGGTATATAATTCCTCTCTTCCTTGCATTTCTTTTAAAAGATCTCCCCATAACGGTGACGCATTCCGAGAAGGTCACATGGGTTTGAGATGGCTGGAACCTGCAGTCAGAAGAAGATCCCTTTTATACCAGACTGGGCACCGTGACGATAGAAATTCACCTTAGTGTATATCATCGGGAAAGTTCAAATAATAAAAGATGGAAACAACTTCTGTTTGAGCTGTCTTGAAGAACAACGCCTAGTTGCATTGCTCCAGGGGTCAGTTGAATCAGATGATTCATCTGCGTCACTTAGGTGTTGACGGACCGAGAGGAAGGAGAGCAAGCTCAGGCGGACAACTTTTCAGAGCCAATTAGATTTGAAGCTGGAAGGAGTAGGTCTAGAAGACCTACAACAAAAAGCCATTAATGGGCTTGACACAAAAAAACTGTTAAACTGTAGACTATGTGGCTTGCATCAGTTAATTTTTCTGGCAAATGGTAATTGATCTTGATCCTCACTGTAACACACACCGAGTGAAAGAGGAAATTAACATAAGACTACACTCTAACAACATCAACAGGAATAGCAGAATATAAAGTCCAGTAGCTTAGTTGCCCTTAATCAAGAAACACAGCAATAGGAGATCCGTACGACAGCGGACCAGTGAGGCAAAAGCTCATACAAACAACCGAGTAAGAAATGCACCAATCTCAGCGGCTAATAATTGACCAACCAGAACCAGAGCTTGGAGTCATATAAGTTCACGTGTGACCAGTCGACGAAGACTAGCAAGGCAAGGTCTTTAAGTGTTGCTTTTTCTAATGAACACTTGAAGTACGCAGTTGAAACGTCGCGATCTACATCATTAAGTGACTGAATCGTGAGACAAACGATTACACTTTTTATTAACATCAATATGTAGACCAGTAACGCGGCCGACGTGGGCAAGTAGATGTTCATACAGGACAGGAATTGGAAAGCTAGAGGAAGACCTTAGTTCAGAAGTACCTTACAGTGACGTTAAGTCATCCGGGGACCAACCAGTGCTCGCTGTGTTTGCTGTTTGACTAAAAATGTATTTATTCGAATTTTGAATCCAATGCTTTCTTGTGATTGGCTTTTAAAACTCCGGGTGGCCTTGCTCGTATGAGCAACAATGAAATAAACCTTGTAAATACTCTTGATGAACGTTACATCTGAAAAAATCAAGTTTCTCAAGAGAGGATAAAGGGGGCAGAGAAGACATCCCCCATACACACCCTATACCATAGGTAATTCGTCTCGAGTTATTTTAGAATGGGGATAAAGTTACCTCGCGCGCTGCGTGGATGTTTCGTGGAGGTTTCGCATGACTAAACGCCGTGCAAAACATGTCGGGCGAAAGGCAATGAAAGCGTAAGGAGATCGAGAGAATTCCTGAAAATTGAAGCGAAATGAGTCGGCGCTCACCTGGGAAAAAGGAATCGCTGGATTCTTTGACAACCCGTGAAATCAGTTTACTCGAAGTTGTCGTAACCTCAGTGCTTTAATAATATGAGAAAGTTCGCCGGTCTATTGAAACGGGTCGTTTGTATAATAAAGCAAGTAGGACGCCAAGTGTTATTTTTGTTGAATAATAAAAGACTAATAAAAGAATAAATATCAAACCAGAAATTGCTCTCTTCAAACTATAATAAATTGTAAATTATAAATGATCCTGAGAGAATATTCAGTGTGTTAAGGATTTCCCTGCTGTACTGTTAGCTCTATTCAAGAGAGGGAGGGCGATTCTTTTTTAATTTTCGTTTCGCTGACACAGCTTTAGTAGAAATCTCTCTTTAGTCGTTTTCGTCGACAAAACAAATAGCAATATCACTCTCCGCGTCTTCCGCCATTTTTTTTTATTTCTGCGTCAATTCGTGAAGGACGCGTGGCTCTGAGCGTGGGTCATCCACTCGGAACACATTCGCGCTATGTGATCGGGATTGGCTATTGTCTAATCCCCCTTGGGATCTATGGTCTTAAAAATAACTCGAGACGAATTACCTGTGGAATAGGGTGTGTATGGGGGATGCCTTCTCTGTCCCCTTTATCCTCTCTTGAGTTTCTGCCGCAGTATCTTTCAAGATGTACGATATTTAAAGGGAAGTGGACTACTTTTAATGTATAAATTAACAATAACTTACATTGTATATCTTACTAAAGCTCCCGTTCAAGAAAATCAGGTTTTATCGTTTATCTAGTATCGCCAAACATTATATTTAAAGTGTTTTAAGTAGAGTAATGCACAAAAAAGAGGTTGACTCATATTGATCTTTAAAGCTCTGATAGAACCTACAACTTGCACTAAAAATTAAAGTTAATTTTTTTCTCATCAGCCCATTTGAGCATGTTTTATATTCTATATTTGGAAATATCAGTTAACTTTTGTGTAAAAACATGGATGGGATCATTTTGTTGTTTTTTTTATCAGGGCTCAGGGATCAAAATTTTTGGGAAAATGGGGCTCAGGGATCAAAATAACGGCAAGAAAATAGGGATCAATGGGTCCCGGATATACCATGTTACGACCCTGTAGAAATCCCTTTATCACGTAAAGATGTATTAGTTAATAACCGAGAAGGATTCAAAATTTCTTGGTTCCCTGCTGTTATTATTTTTTTCACTTGGTTTTTGTTATAACTGTCATTAGTAAAATCCAACTAGTGGCCGGTCTATTATCAATGCTGCGTTCTGATTGGTTGAGCTACTACTAGGCTATATGTTTTAGCCCACTATTAGCGAAAGGCGCGGGCTTTTTGGTGGCAAAAAAGGATTAAAGTCTTGCTTTAAGTTGTTTTGTCTCGATATTTTTGACCAGCTGGTTGGATTTTACTAAAACATTATTCCTCTCGCCCTCATGGCCTCTGAGTCAATAGCCCATTCGGCCTTCGGCCTCATGGGCTTTTGACTCAGAGCCCATTCGGGCTCGAGGAATAATTGTTAAAGAGCCATTATGGCTCTTGATCGGTACATTTTGACCTCGCACAAGTAGCTTTGCTTTTTTTTACCAAACCACCACCATCCTCGCATAGAACAGGTAAAGAACTTAGAAATCCCTTTGTCACGTAAAGATGTACAGTATTAGTTAATAACCGAGAAGGATTCAATGCTTGTGATTATTTTACTTGGCATTACTTTGAAGTACAGTAATTTATGTACATTTAGTTGGTTTGTTGTAAAGCTGTTATTGTTAATAATAACAGCGCAGTTGACTTTGCGAGGTTTGTTGAGTCGACCTCCACCGCTATTCAGCCTTCAAGAGCCGCCACGTGCACGATTCATTCCGGGATCACACGATGTCCCCGTTGACGAGGGCTTCCCTGGTCTATTACCTTACTTTTGTCTATTATAAATTGACCAGGCATTAAAAGTTGCTGCTCTCCTCTCATACCAAGCAACCTCTTCAAACCTGCCCCGCAGGCTTAGAAAGGGGAGGGGAAGGAAGGAAAAGGTAGATGGGATTAGGGAGAGAGGGAAAGGGACTTCCTCTACCTTTCCCTTTCGCGCTTTTCTCCCCCTCCCCTCCCCTCCTCTCCCCCCGCTTGTTTTGCGGCTGCCACGCAATTTAACCTCTTCTGAAAAACTGAAATGCCTGGAACCTTACTGAAAAAAAAAAAAGAAAACAAAAACAAAAGTTGCGAGAAATTTTTAAATTCCATCTTGTATATTTGTGAGGCGAATTATAAGACGGCGCAAACACCTCGAGGTCTTCCCCTGAATTACAGCACATTTATAATAACGAGCAGTTTTCTACAATAGCCTTACTTCCGTATTTGTTTATAGAGCAGGGTGGGCTATGATGAATATAGTCATCATCACCATCGGTCTTACCTTCAATATCTTTCCAGCGAAAGTAATTACAAATAAATGAGACACCTTTTCACTATAAATCAAAATTTTGCGATATGGTGAATGCCTTTGGACAAATAACCCTGAAACTGATCAAGTTTACGTCCGTGACTGTTTAATTGACCCTAGACATCTGAAATTGAGGTTAAGATTACTTGAAAATAGTTAAGCTGACAGATAAGTGAATTTTTAGTTGTTTGGAAAATAGCCAGTGTTGTCAGTAGAGACCAGGTCAAATAGAAGAAATTAAATCCGAGTCCCATAAAACATTTCCGCTGTCGTATCCACTGAGTGCGACAATAACCCCAGCTGCAAAGGAACTAAAAATGACTGACGTTTAAGCACTCGTTTTCTTAATGTTCATCTTTTCATGGAGAAATCAAAGACACCTCAAGTCTTTCACCCCTCGCAATTTTCATCCGCGATATTTTCAGTCACTCTCGCAATTTGTTTCGTGGCGCTGATTCACGTCGAGATCGAACTTCATGTTCATCGTCAAATGCTTCAAGTTTTAAATCAAGAGAGAGAAGACAGCACCGAGCTACGAAAAGTAGTCGATCGTCATGAAAAAACCATGGATTCTGTGTTGAAGATGTTACAGAGTGGATCACCAACAGGTAATTGCATACTTATTAAACTATCCCTCGTCTTCAATTTTTCTCAATTTTTAACATCCATATGCAATTAAAAAAGAATCGAAAGAATAATTAATTTAAAATAAGAAAAAGGTAATTGCAATTTCAAGTTGGCTCACTCCCGGAGCTCACTCAGTTAAGCGACAAACTCTTATGTTTGAAGCGCCTTTTACGCGAGGTGCAACTTTCACTCAGTTCATACGTGCTGATCAAAGCAAGTAATCCTAAGTATTTTTTTTTGCTCGCTTTGCCTCTTTTGAAAGAGTAGGGAAAGGGAAGTTACTGCTATTCAGCACTAAATTCCTGTAAAGCTGAGACGGATGCATTTAGGGACTGGTCAAAAAGTATGGGGGGGGGGGCCGGAGCATTTGGAAATGTGGTTCATAAAAAACACATGACCCACCCCCTCCCTTCGGCACAAAAATGACTGACCCACCCCTAAAGCAAGGTTGGAAATTGCATGACCCACCCCCTAGTTAAAACGTGGATGTTCGGTTTCCTCTTGTTCTGTGCTTGACAAAATTTGTTGATACACTGCTACAACCAATATCAAAATCACAGAAATCATACCTTTCACTGAAAAGACGAATGTGAAAAACCGAACATTTCTTGTTTCAATGGACGTTTAAATATGAGTCTTGACGCAAATATACAGCAAAACGAGGGTATATTGAAATTTTCTGTCACAAAGCATATGAAAATTTCAACAAAGACAACCCATTCCTACACATTACTTGCCCGAAATGCTTAGATTAATCCTCAAAGAAAATTTCTTCCACTTCAGTGGAAAGCACTATCTACAAAACCATGGAACTGCAATGGGCACAAAGACAGCAGTTTTGATTCCTTTGCCAATGTTTTCATGACATATATTGAAACAACAACTCTAAGCAAAACTGTCTTTAGAACAACAGTTTGGAAATGCCACATACACGATATCTTTTCCCTATGGGACATGAGTAGACCAGACATCGAAGCCTTCATTGAACAAGCAAGCTTACATCACCCAACTAATGAATTCACGGCCGAAACATTTAACACTGAGACTGCGTTTTTAGACACGGTTGTATACAAAGGCACAAGATTCAAGGAAAAATCTATCCTTGATGCAAAGACACATTTTAAACAAACGGAAAGCTTCTTGCACACACATTTCACCTCGTGTCACCCTCCAAATGTTAAAAAAAGAATTTGTCAAAGGAGAAGCCTTAAGAATCCTCCCAAAAACACTCTTCAGAAACGACCTTTGAGGAAAATAATTCAAATTAAAAAAAAAAAAAAACGCTTGATGGACGGAGGCTACCCACAATCTTTCAGGGGCACCCAACGTCAATTTTCGGAAAATAACTGTTCGAAAGACGATTTGAGATCTAGAATTTTCGGAACATTTGTTGTAAAACTTCTTGTTTGTCTTCCCCTCCAAGGATTTTCGAACATCTAAAAAAACGGTATAATTGCCTATTTTTTGATCCCTATAATTTTCGTATCACTAGACTTTCAGCTAGGAGATCCAAACAGATGGAAAATTCTTAGGGGATAAAAATATGCCTATATCTATTGTTTAAATTGGTTTTGAAGTATATTCTTGTTGGGTGCCCCTTATCTTTGATAGAAAACCTACTATCAGAAATAAAATTCACGAAAGGGAGTCTAAACTCCTAAAACAAAACAACAAGGAGGAAAAAGAAATATTGCCATTCATGACACAATACCAGCCCTCAGTGTCTACTATAAAAGAAGCTTGAATGAAAAAATGGAATCTTACACAAAACCAAATATAACTTCAATAAATTTTTAAAGAACCACCAATCATTTCCTTACAAAAAAGAAGAAAAACGGCTCACAGAGGGTTCCACGCCCGTATAGATGTGCGGCCTGTCAACCTTTGTATTTTCTCGCACAACACGTTTGTGAGTATTTTAGCAATAATTCCAGTTGGCTGTGTTTTATATAACAAGTGTAGTCAACTGTCTCGTTAGTAGTTAGTAAAAAATAGGGTGACCCACCCCCTAAGGGTAGCTGAAAATTGCACGACCCACCCCTTGCACAAGGCTCAAAACCTCATGACCCACCCTCTCTCTGCTCCGGCCCACCCCCCTCTATACTTTTTGACCAGTCCCTTAGCAAGGATTTGATCAACACTTCCTCTTTATCTGAAAATGCCAGACTGATTAAATTCTTCTAAGGCCCACATGGCACGAAACAAAACTCGCGAGGACAAGGAACTTTGCTCCACTTTGTCTCTCTTTATCGGCGACATACTGCTAGTGGTAACCCTGCAATAGACTAGCATCCCGTCCAGGGGGGGTGGGGGAGAGGGGCTATATTCCTAGGCATGCTTCATGCTAAGGAAACCGGATAAGCTCCTGCCGTTTGGGCCTTTGGCTCGTGTGCGCCTTTACCTTAAATGGAGATGAAGGCTCTTGCCCTCAAGAACTAATTTACTTATAACATTACATTTCAGATGCACACATCCGTCAAAAACGCCTTGTGCAACGCAAGAATTCAAACGCCAGTGAAACCTTCACCAGGAAAGAAATTCAAATGACCTGTACAATTCATTGTCCGAAAGGAATCAGGGGACGGCGAGGTAGAGCTGGTCCCCCAGGCAAGCATGGTCCACGAGGGCCTCAGGGACCTCAGGGGCCTCAAGGTACTCAAGGAGATAAGGGACCACCTGGAGCTAAAGGCGATCAGGGCC